GCCGCCCCCAGCCAGCCCAGAGATAACACCCGCGCGCAGGCCCACCCGGCAGCCCCCGGCGGTGCCCCCACACGCACACACACTGTACCCCGCGCTCACTCGGTCATGCCCCACGCAGCCCCGCACACACTCAGACGCCTTCTGTGCGCACACACGGGCACACGGGCGCTCACACGTGCACACACCTCGCCCTGCAGTACACACACTCCTCCACGCCCACCCCTGCTGTGCTCACTCCCACGACACACTCCATCACACCTCCCTCCCGCCCCGCGCCCCGCTCGCCCATGTGCCCTCACACAGACGCCCAGGCTCACACCGACACCCCACATCACACACGTTCCCTCCCGCGCGGAGCCGGCACGCCCCCCCCACGCCCCACCGGGCGCACCCCGGGGCTGCTCGGCTGAGGCGGGACACGTGGGAACTGCCTCCCAAGCGCCCAGATTCGCGGCCGTCCATTGCGCAGCGCCGGCAGCAGGGCCGGGAGCCTGTTGATTATTTACGCTAACGAACACCTCGTCGGGCACTGCTGAGGGCGCCCGGGCGTCTCTCTGGCCCGCGCTGGCGCCGGGGGACCCGTGCAGCGTGGCCTGGCGTGGCCCGGCTCTGCTCCCACGACGCCGGCCCCAGAGCCCAGCCCGGGCAGGCGCCCAGGCCATTCCGCGGGAGACGGCGCGAGCCGTGGGGGGACCGGCTGCCGCGTGCCCAGCCTGCCACGCACGGAGGGGATCCTGCTCGGGCCGGAGCTGGGGCACCGAGATCGCGTCCCCCCAGACAGAAGGGTTTTGGCCCCGCCCTTGCCTCCCACGAGCGACATCTTCACTGAGCGGGGGCAGAAGACCCGGGTCCTCTCAGAGCCGCCTCCCAGGGCCGCGCTGGGCGTGGGGTCCTTGCACCCGGGGCCGCAGGGCCAGGCCTCTAGGCCCTGGGCCTGCTCGGGGGTCCCTGCGGGCCGAGGAGCAGCAGCGAAGCCGGGTGAGCCCTGCCGTTGGGTCCCCGGACTCGCCTCTCCAAGCCCTGCGCCCCGGCCTGGGCTTCTGCCCCCAGCCTCGCCGGTGGCTCCCGCTCCGGCCCCACACAGTTAAGGAGAGAACCCGGTCTCCCGGGCAACGGATTCCGCGTTCACATGTCCGTCTGCGGAACAAGGGCTGTTCCTCCCGTGAAATGCCTTTCCCTCCGGAGGGCACCCCTGGGCGCCGAGAGCTCCAGGAGGGAGGACCGGCAGCGGCCCCGGGGCGCAAGTAGGTCCAGGAGGGAGAGAAGCCTTGAGACTCCCTCTGCCCGCCACTGGCGATGACACCCCACAGCTGCAGGGGACACTGGGGAGAGCCCGACTGCACCCCCATCACCCCACCTCCAGGGCTCAGAGCCGGGGTCCTGGCTCCACCCCCACCTCCCCTGACAAGTTCTCAGTGTCCGCATCTCTGGCGCGGGCGACGGCCCCGGCGGGCAGGCCGCTGGGGACAGCCGTGGAGGTGACCCATGCGGGGGCCCCGCTCAGCGGGTGCTCAGTGGGGCGAGGCTGCACGGGTTCTTGCTGCAGCCCTCGGGGGGCTCCCCGCAGGTTTGGGCTGCTGTTAAAGCCACCTGGGCCAGCCCGTTGTTCCCACCTCTGATTTGCTGCGTGACTTTGGGTTTCCACCACCTCCCTGGTCGCTCCTGGATTGGAGGGGCCTTGTCCTCCCACTGACGCCCTCTCTGGGTGGGGCCCTGAGCCCTCCCTCTCCCACGCACTGGCGACTCGCAGCAGCGGCGTCGCTCTGGGGCAGGGCAGGGCCAGGGCAGGGGTCCGAGGGCGGCGTGAGCGTACTGGTGAGGTCGGGCAGCTCAGATGTCCCCTCCTGTCCTGTGCGGATGCATCGTGGCCTTGCCAGGGGCTGAGACAGCGGGGGTCTGTGCCCAGCGCCCACAGAACCCCAGGAATGCTGAGCAGGGAGCAGGGCTGCGTGGGGAGGCCGCAGCCAGAGGGGCCGGAGAGCCTGAGCAGCAGCCAGGACCTAGGAGGCCCCGTGGGGTGCGGGGTCAGGGGATGCCGGTTCAGGCCTCTGACTCAGGCCTAGCCCCGGGGGAGCCACCCTGGCGAACAGGCCCACAGAGGCCCCCTGGGCCGCAGAACCGAGCCTCACACCGGCCCAGACAGCACTGCCCTGTGACGTGACAGGGTGGGTGGCTGAGGGAGGAGGCCGCGCCCGCCGGCACCCCGCACCACTGGTGGGACATCGCAGGGCCTGTCCGGCTCGGACCGGCTGGCCCCAGCGGCGCGTGTGCCCGGTGAAGAGGAGAGTGGGCTTTGGGCATGGCCAGAGCTGGGAGGGGGCGCAGGCTGCAAAGTCACCGCGCCCTGGGTCTGTCAGCACAGCCGCCGCCCCGGGCCAGGCGAGGGGTAAGGCAGACCATCTCACTCAGGCAGCGCCCGGCACACAGTGGGTGCTTTATCATCACCACCAGCGCGTGCGGGGCCACACCCTCACTTCCACTGGGCATCGGGGAGACCTGGCCTAGAAAATCCCCCGCAGCCCAGCACCTCCAGTTTAGGGCTCAGGGCTCCGCGCTGTCCACCGCCGAGGAGGAAGCTGTGCGGCTCCGCACATGTTCACGGGGCCCACGGCCCTGCCCTCAGGGGGCACCCTGGCCAGTAGGGTCTCCTCTGCTCCAGGCTCTGGGGGCCACAGGGGTTGGAAGGTGAGGACCCCCCAAAGTTAATCTCCCCTATATAGATACACTGACTAGCAGAGCCGTGATCTGGTGACAAAGAGGCTCGGAAGCTGTAATGGATCCTGGAGGGACAGACTGTTTCCGGGGTGCCGCTGAGAGACCGCGGTGGGTTAGGAGGCCAGATATGGACACTGACATGGGGCCTCTGTGCTGGCTGGGCTGGGGTTTGAGGCTGTGAGCAGGTCATGGGGCCCCTGAGGCCTCGGCTCAGCCCCCCCTCTCAGCAGGATTTAGTGCTGCGCGGGAAAGGCTGGGGCTTCGCCGGGGGGCGGGCGTCCATGGCTGTGGGCCCCGCGAGGGCAGAATGTGGCTGGGGAAGAGGCAGCAGCACCTCCCCTGCCTGCGCTGGGGCTGCTAGGAGATGAATCGCTTGGTCTGCGGGTCACCTCAAAGCGCCAGAGGCCCCTCCAATCCCCGTCCCCACTGGCGCGCAGGGGGCCCCAACCACTAGCCCAGCGCTCAGCCTTGGGCACCCCTGGAAGTCAGTCGTGGGGAGGCAAGTCTTCTGGCCTGGCCGCCAGGTTTTCTGATGCCATAAACCGCTTGGCCTTTCCTGGGGGGGGGGGGAGTTGCGAGGTGGGGGTGGGGCCGGGGCAAGCGGCTGCTTCGAGAGGGTCCCGGCTCCCCGGCCGCTGTCCAGCTGCCGCCCTGGGCACCTCCAAGGGCACCTCCGCCTCAGGCCTGCGGTCCCAGCAGGGGCACCTGCCGGGGTGGGCCTGGGGCGCGCTCCAGGCCGCCCGCGTCAGGGCCCCCCGGGTGAAGGGCGCTCAGCAGACGCCCCGCAGGCGGCTGCCCAGCGCGCGTGGACCTGCCCACAGGCCCGCCGGCCCGGCCGTGCGTCTGGGGCCAAGAGGCCCAAGACAGGGGGGGCGAGACAGGGGCCCTTCGCCCCCACTTCTGTCCCGGCCCCCAAGCTGCCCAGCCCTGGAACCCCCAGAAGCCCTGCGCCGTCTCCAGCGGCGGGAGTCCGGGCGGCGCGACCCCCTGCGGGGAGCCGGGCGCGCGGGCGGGAGCCGGACTACAGCTCCCGGCGTTCCCGGGCGGAGAGGAAGTGTCGTGCCCGGGGCCCCCCGCGGCCGCAGAGGGGGCGGGGCGGGGCGGGGCGGGGCGGGGCGGAAGCGGGGAGGGGGGAGGGAGGGGGCGGGGGCCGGGGGGCGGGGGGCGGGGGGGGGGGCGCGCGCCGGGGAGGGCGGGCTGCGCCGCGAGCGCGGGTGGCCAGCGGGGCGGGCGGCAGGAGGAGGCGCCCCCCGCCCCCGCCCCCCGCCCGCCGCCTGCGGACCTGCACCCCGGGGCGCGAGGGGCGCGGAGCTGCGCGCGCTGCGCTCGGGCCGCGGCTGCGGGCGCGCGGGGCCGAGTTTCTGCAAAGTTTGACCCGGTTGCCTTTGCGATGCTGCCGCAGAGGCGGCGGCGCGGGCTGAGCGGCGGCCGCGGCTCGCGATGATCGTGAAATAAAGGGGCGCGCGGGCCGGGGGCGCGAGAGCCCCGCGCCGCCCCCCGCCGCCCGAGCGAGGAGGAGGTGGGCGCCGGGGGCGCAGGCCGGCCCGGACCCCGCGGAGCCCCAGGACCCTGCCCGGGACGGGCGGGGGCGCCCCGAGGACGCGCCCGCGGCGGGGTCGGGGCGCGCGCGGAGCGGCCCGCGGGCAGGTGAGTCGGCGGCGCCGCGGGGCGGGGCGCGCACGCCGGGGTGCCCCGCGCCCCACGCGCCCCGGCCGCCGGACCCGGCCGCGGGGGGCCGGCGAGGCGCGGGCGGGCCCGGGGCGCGCGCCCGAGCGCCCGACCTGCGGGGAGGCGCTGCGCCCCGGCGGGGCGGGGGGCGCGGGCGCGGGCGCCGGGCGGGGCGGGGGGCGCGGACCCGGCCGGCCCGTCCCCGCGGCGCCCCCGCCCCCGCGCTGTCAGCGGGGATGTCACGGCGCGATTATTCGCTGTGCGCGGCGAGCGGCCCCGTGACGGGCGGCGGGGGGCGCGCTCCGGGGAGACCGCCCAGCCCGGCGCCGCCAGCGCCAGCCCGCGCCCCGCGCCCCGCGCCGCGCCCCGCGCACACGCCCGCGCCCCGCAGCGAAGTTCGCCCCAACTCCGAGCGGGCCCTGACGCCGCGTCCCCCTCCCGCAGGGCTCGGCGGCGAGGGACCCGCGCCCGCCCCGCGCGCCGACGGCACCGGCACCCGCCTCGGGCCGCCCCCGGGAAGCCGCGGGTCGGCGCTCGCCCCCGGGGCGCCCGGAGACCGCGCCGCCCGGGACTCGCCGGCGGTGCGGGGCCGGCCGCGGGGGCGCGCGGGGGGCCGACCCCCCTCTGCATGCGGCCGCGGGCGCCGAGGACCTCGGGGACGTCCGGGAGCTGCGTTCCCGCGGGTGAGGCACGGAAAGGGCTGATGTCTCCGCGACATGGTTACCCATTAACCTCCGAACTTTTCTTTTTTTAACCCAAAGAATATCGGTGGTTTTTGCCCACTGCTAGCAGAAGACGAGAGAGCCGAGGGCCTCTGAAATGCAGCAAAGTCCTTATTTATAAACAGGCCCGAGGTCGTGATATGCAAACCCCCCCCCCCAGTGAGTCTGTCCCTGGACACCCCTCCCGCCGCGAGGCCGAGGCCGTGCTGTCTGCGCTGGGTCCCGCGGCCTCCATCCTTTCAATGCCCAGTTTCCTCTGGGACTGCTGGCCTTCCCTGGAGATCAGGGCGCTCCTCTGTGCCATGGGCTGCATCCAGAGCATCGGGGGCAAAGCCAGAGTCTTCCGGGAAGGCATCACCGTGGTCGACGTGAAAGCCTCCATCGACCCCATCCCCACCAGCATCGACGAGTCCTCCAGCGTTGTGCTCCGCTACCGGACACCCCACTTCCGTGCCTCGGCCCAGGTGGTCATGCCGCCCATCCCCAAGAAGGAGACCTGGATAGTGGGCTGGATCCAGGCGTGCAGCCACATGGAGTTCTACAACCAGTACGGGGAGCAGGGCATGTGAGTACCCCTGGGGCGAGCTCGGAGGCTGCTGGGGGGCGGCCGGAGGCACAGGGAGGGGCCTCGGCAGGGCCAGAGGGAAGCTTTCGGGCCCATGAACCTGGTCTCTGTGCCCTTCCTGGCCAGGTGAGCCCCTGGGGGACTTGCCTGTTGCTTCCGATTGGGGTCGTGGCCTAGAGCCCCTGGGGTTCCCATGTCCTTCCCTGCAAGGTGCTGAGAAAGCAGAGGGACCTGCCACCAGGTGCCTCTTGGGCAGAGCCAGCGTGTGGCCCGGTCCCCAGAGAGCTGCCCCTCTGCGGGGGCCCGGCTCCTGGCACACGTGGCCGCCACTCCAGGAAGGAGCAGGGCCGGGGAGGCCTGGAGCTCCGTGACCCGCGCTTTGTGTCGGGCCCGCACTCGTCTCTCAGGCGGTTTCTAACACGCAGCAGGGCCTGGGGGCCCTTCCCAGCCCCGGGTGTCTGAGGGGACGGCCAGTTGCCGAAACCCGTTTGCTTCTCGGTGGAGTTTCCCGTCCACGGTGGGGACGTCAGACCTCAGCACCCAGAAGGTGTCGGCGGGGCCCGCCGTGGAGAGGAGCCGGCTGGCCTCGCTCTCCGGCCGGTCTCCAGGGCGTTCCCGGGGAAAATGGAGCTCGCAGCCTGCGAGCCTGGACCCGTTTCCCGGCCTGTTCCCGGGACAGCCGTCCCCGCTGTGAAGGAAGCGGCCGTCGGTGGGAGGGAGGGTGCTTGGGCCCTAGGTCGGAGCCGGTCATTGTGGACGGGACCTTCGGGGGGAGCTGGGTGGGCCCTCGTGGACGCTGCTGTCCGGGCCTCTCCCCCCCCCCCCCCCCCCCCCCCGTGTCCCGCCGTGTCCCAGCAGGCGGGGCACAGAGGGGCGTCCCCGGACTCAGAGCTTTTCGCTGACATCAAGGGCCCTGAAAGGGGATGGCTCGGGGCGGTTCCTCCCTTAGCGACCCCGGAGCTGGGAGGGAAACAGGAGGAAGGCAGGGACAACTTAAAACGGGGTAACCCTGATCACCCCAAAGAGGTGCATGTGGGATGCGTCTAGACACTCACCGGGGCTCCCCTGGATCTACCTGATTTCAACCCCCAAGCTCTGGCTCTCAAAAGCAGCTATTAATCCGGGCGGGGCCGACTTTCCATTCTGAGAAGGGAAACCTGATTCTTAGACATTTGGGGTGGATCTTTCCTGGGAAGCCGTGAGCCCAGAAGCCTCCAAGGCAGCTGGGACAGCTGGGCCGAAGGGGAGGCTTTCCTGAGACAGCTCAGCCGCTTCCCTGCCCTGGCGGAGGCGGGAGGGCAGAGGGGCTGAGCCTGGAGGGAGGGATGGTGCTGGCAGGGGAGCTCCTGCGCCGTGGCCGGCTCAGGCCCGGCCGGGCCTCAGCTTCCCCATCTGTGCCCGGGGCCCTGCCTGTGCCCTGTGGTGGCAGCAGGTCCCGGGCGCTGTGCTGGGGGCCGGCCTGGGGCGGGAGCCCTGAGGTGACTTTTCCTCTGTGAGCGGGTGCCAGTGAGGGGAAGCCCGGGCGCAGCCGGACCGCAGGTCCTTCCCCAGGGGTCGGCTTGGCCACCGGGCCCCTCGGTTCCCCACCTGCAAACTGGGCCTGAGGCTTACGGGGTGGCAGTCACGGGCGGTGCCGCCGGCCCTGCACTGCTGGCGGGGAGGGAGCTGTGGGCTCCGTGGTGAGAATCGAGGCTGAAGCCAGAGTTGGGGCAGCTGCAGGCTCCTCCTGTCTTGATGTTCCCCACCCAGCTCTTGGCTCTTCCGCTTTCCCGGGGCTCACTTCCCGGCTTCGCCGGAGCTCAGGCGCGGAGTCGGGACTGGTTGGTGTTTGCTGTGTGTTCCCGCCCCGCCTCTGGGGCCCCGCTGGCTTTCAGAGCAGAGCTCTCTGTCTTGGGGTCCCCTCTCCTTGGTCCCAGGGCCCCCCTGGGATGGGACCAGCCCCGAGAGAGGGCGGACGTGGTGGCTGCCCGTGCGGGCAGTGGGGAGCGGGTGTTCAAGGGCCCGGGCACCCTGGCAAGTCACCTCGCAGAGGTCCCCGGGCCTGTGGCTGTGGCGCTGCTGGCCTCACTGTCGGTCCACAGTGTGTGTGAGGAAACTGAGTCACGGAGAGGCAGGCCTCCCGCCAGGGCGGGCTCTCTGGTGTCCGGGTGCGCTCTGGGCAGGAGAAGGGTCATCATTCAGGAAGGCGCCACTTTTGCTCCTTCTCAAATGTGAATGGAAGCATCTAGATGCGCTGGCAAGATCCCACCAGCCGCCCTCCCCGCGCCGCCCGTGTTGCGACTCCCTATTTTGAAGTCCCGAGAGTGGAAAGCGTGAGGTGTGCTGTGCTGGGGGGTGGGTCGGAGGCTGCAGGAGGCCCCGCGGGGCCCCGACCCGGCATCGCAGGCTGTTGGGTCTGTTGCTGCGGCCAGCGTCCCCGGTCTCCCCACCCCCGGGTGCCTGGGCCCCCTGGGCCCCCGTTGTGATAACCCAGATGTTTCCAGACGTGGGCATGTCCCCAGGGAGGGAGGCGATGTCACCCAGGTTCAGAACCGCTGGGCTACACCCAGAAAATCTGAATCATGAAAACCAAACCCCCCCCCTTCAGTGGCCCTGGGTGGGGCCAGCCGGTAGCAGGGGTCGGGAGGTTTCCTGTTCCCCACAGATGGGCTTGTCTTCAAAGTATTAATCCCAGATACTTAACCCAAACCCGTGAAAGCCCCAAGCATTATCCCTTATTCACGGGAGAAATGACTCTAATCCAGGGGGTGTTTAGCATGACATTCTGGGTTTGAAGTACTCGAAGCGCAGGGGGAACAGGCCGCCGGGCCATGCCCGCTCTGTAGGGGGAACCAGGAGACGCGCGCCCTCCCTGCCAGCTGGGGAGGCTCTATCTGGTTTCGGGGCCAACCTACATTACTTTCAGAGCCACCCCCCAGACTATGGCGACATCTGCCCCCACAGCCCCTCCTCCGCGGTTCCTCAGCCGCCACCTGTCAGCTGGCTCAGCCGCTCGAGTGCCGAGGCAGTTTCTCGCCTGTGTGGGAGACGCTTCGCGTGGCCCTGGTCGGCCCTTCCGGAGCCCTGGGAGGCTGGCCCACGACTGGGCCAAGGCCAGTTTCTGGCTCAGGGTCTCATGTGGGGATGAAAGGAGAGCGCAGCTCCAGAAGAGGGTCTGGGGGTGTCTGGCTGTGTTTGGCGGCGGCCCCCAGCCCCCTCTGCTGGGGCTGTGACCTTGGGCCAGAGGCCTCATGCCAGGGCAGGTGCTAGCCTCACGAGGTCCCCATTTCATTTATTTTTTAAAAGATTTATTTATTTTTGCATACGAGAACTGGGGTGGGGTGGGTGCAGGCCAGAGATGTGGGGGGTGAGAGGACTCACCAGAGACAGAGCGGGGAACAGAACAGGCAGACTGACGGAAACACACTGCTGAGGGGAGCAGTGGGTGACACAGGCGAGGTCTGCTGTGCCATGTGGGTAGCTCCCTGGCTGGGGATCGAACTCGTGCTGCAGAGGCTGCGGACAGCTTCATAGGTTGTGTCCTAACCCCTTGCGCCACCAGGGAGGCCCTACGAGGTCCCCATTTTATAAGAAGGACACAGCCTCTGAGACCTGAAGTTGCTTGGCCCCGGGGCATGACAGCCCAGCAGGCTGGGACAGGCAGAGGAACGGCCTGTGACCATGTGGCCTCTTCCTGCGCCTCAGGCTCTCACAGAACAATTGAGGACGAAGCTTCCTCTGCAGCCCGGAAGGCGGCCTCCCCCATCTGCGGGCCCTGGCAGGGGCGAGGCGGCTTGGGTGGGAGAGGGAAGTCCCTGTTTCCAGGCTTTGGGGTGGGAGGAAATGGGGGGAGGGACAGCAGCCCAGCGCGAGCCCCTGGACCCGCTGGCCCAGCCGTCTCTGCCGACCTCACTTTGCAAGCGGCGAGAGCCGAAGCTGGCTGTGGCCGTGGCTGTGGAGAAGGCGCCGCCTGGACCAGAGGGACATCCCAGCCGAAGACCCACCTGCCGCTTTGTATCACTCAGGCCTGGGCCTGGGGCGAGGGGAAGAGTTTCCCCTGAGGCGCCGGGCAGCCTAGGCAGCGTTGGGGGGGAGTGTGACTGGCTCTCGGTGTTTCACAGACACACACCCTTCATTGTTGAGCTTCTAGATTGTTCCGTGTCTAGAGGGAGGCTTACAGACCCCTGCGCCCAGGCAGCCTGGCCTGCCGCAGGCCCCCCAGCATGAACGGACAGTGCTGGGCTCGGGAGAGAAGCCCATCGGGGCCAGGAGGGCATTGGGGCCTTGGGGGTGAGACCCGGCCGGGCAGGTGTCCCCGCGGGGCCCTCGCACCCTGGCATTTCTTGGAAGAGATGTCATATCTGTAGGGTAGGAACCCGGTTTGGCTCAAAAGAAAACAGTAAAAATGAAAGCGTAGGGCGTGTGTCTCGCAGAGAAAGGTCTGGAAGGATGTTTATCACGGCATGGCGCGGGGAGCAGCCTGCTGTGGGCGGGGCGGCCGGAGGTGGCTTTCGGTTTTGACTTCATACCCGTCTCTAGGGCCTGCCTCAAAACCAGAGCAAAACAAAACACGAAGCGCATCTTCTGTGCTCAATTCAGCCTCGGACCCGGGCCCTGACTGGCGGGGGAGGCGGGCGGAGAGGAGTGGGGCGCGGGGGAGTGGGGTCCCCGTCTGTGCCGACGGCACCCCCAGCCCCCCGGGGCTTTGTGAGCAGGGCCGAGACCCTCCTGGAACACAGGGGCCGCCTGGGGCCCCAGAGCAGCGTGGGCGGGCGCCGGGGTCTCGGGGTGGCGGAGCTGGGCCATGGGAGCTTTTGGCAAGTTGCGCAAAACTGTAAAACCTTGAAAACCGGAGCCCGGGCGTGAGAATCCGTAAGGGCCTTTGGGCCCGTGTGACGCACGCGAGCCCCCCACGTAGCCACACGCACTCTGCATTTCCAACTGGTTCGATCCAAGGTGCTTCTCAGGAAAGATTAGATTTAGCTGTTTTTAAAAAGTGATTTTCAGGAAAAAACCGAATGACTCAGAATCCAGGAGGCGGCGGCAGCACCAACATGGAGAGACTAGAAGTTCGGGAACGCTGCTGAGACCAGGGGCGCCGGGCGGGTCCGGCCCCGGGGTCTGGAACGCAAACTCCGTGCCCAGGGACCCCCCGTCGCAGCGCCCTGGGACTCTGGCACCCTCGGGAGACAGGTGGGGCCTCATGGGGGTGCAGGGGAGTCGGCCCGGCCCGGCTCACCGCCCTGTCCGGCTCGGACCTGAAGCAGCAGGGCCAGGGCTGCCCCCGCACCCTGTCTCCGCTCGGCGCACACCCGCGCCTCCACCGTCCACCCAGAGGCCCAGCCCCGGCGGCTCCTGCCTGGTGGCTGGACCTTGAGACGCTGGCGCCCCCTCCCTGGCCCCGCGGGTGCCCGCGGCGCAGACCCCACCCGCCCGGCCCCAGCCGTGCCCCCGCAGACTCACCGTCCGGGGCGCTGCTCGGGGCACACGCGTCTGAGTAGTGGGGGAGGCGGCTGCAGGCCGGTGGAAGGTCTTGCTCGGTCTGTGGGTCCTGGCCCTTCCCGGGGCGGACCCCGAGTCGGGTCCCCACAAACGTGCCGCGGGCCTACTCCCGGGCGCTTGTGCGGGGGCCGCCGGCTCGTCCCCGGGTGGGCGCAGGTGGGCAGCGGAGCCTGCCCGTGCGGGCCGTGGCCTCTCAGCGCGGCTCCAGGTGGGGAAGTTCACGGCGGAGCCCGCGAGGCCGCCCGAAACTCTGCACACCTGTGTTGGGTGCGCGGCCCGGCTCAGGGCAAATCCTGGAGGTCCCGCCCCTGCCCTCTCGGGCCTGGGGTCTGTCTGGAGACAAGGTATTGAGTCACCGCGTGCGTGTGCCAGGAAGCCGCGGGGTGAGGATCGGGTGGCACGCGGGAGCACTGGCCTCGTGGGCGGGTCAGGGCGGCTTCCCCCGGGGGGTACCCCGACAGCTGACTAGGACCGGAGGGGAGCCTGCTCCCCAGACAAGGCCCTGAGATGGGCGCTGAGGACAGCTGGTGGGGGGTGTGCTCCCGCGCCTCGTGCAGCAAACTTGTGCCCTTGGGGCATGCGCGTGACAGCGCCCTGCGAACACCAAGCGGGCTCTGCACTCACTGTGGGGATGTCTGCCGGGACGGGACGGCAGCAGGATCAGTGGTGCTGGGAGTGATTCGGGGGGGCAGGAGGCACTCTGAGGTCCAGCTTCAGGCCTGAGCTCTCCTGCGTCCCGGGGGCGGGGTCTCCCCACGCTCCCCTCCGTGAGGGGAAGACTCGAGCTGCCCCCTCCGAGAGCACACGCCCTGACTCTGAGCGACACCCGCCCGCTGGGAGGGCTGTCCTGCCAGGGACCCGGCCGGGGGCTCCGGGGGCCGAGCCAGGAGCAAGAGCCCTGAGCCTGGGGCCAGAGGCTGAGCGCGGGTCACTGCGGCTCGGCCAGCTCTTTGGAAGTGAAAGGGGCCAAGGTGACGTCCAGGTTCCTCACCCGAGCTCTGCCTTTAAAAACACGCGTGTGGGTAGGCGGAGCCTCCGGGGAGGCCGCGTGGGCGTTGGCAGGCAGCGGGCACGGCCCGGGGCAAAGCTCCAGGCTTCCGACACTCACCCAGGAAGCCTGGCCCGTGCGTGGGAACCACGGCGCCCCGCAACCCCCAGCACCCCACCCCCTGCTGCTGTGCAAGGTGGGGGTGGCAGGGCCTCGGGTCTCCGGGACTGATGGGCCTTTAGCTGGAGGCGGGGGTGAGGCGGGGGGTGCCGGCGGGCGCGTGAGCCTGGTGACCCCTGCGCTCCTGCTGGCGGCTCGGAAGCGGCCCGGGCGCTGCTCCCCGCGACGTTGAACAGCGTTGCTGGCGCGGGGCTGGCGGCGGCGGCGGGAAAGCACGGAAACGGATCCCTTTCGCCTTTGTCAGCCCATTCACACTGTCGTGCACCCCACTCCGGACTCTGTACCCCTCACTCAGCCCCTCCCCGGCCCCTGAGCCGCCACGTGTCTCACACGAGTGGATCCTCTGTGTCCGGCTGCTCACTCAGCGCCACGTCCGGGTTCCTCCGGGCCGCGGGCCGTCAGGGCCTCCTGTTCCAAGGCCGAGTGCTGTTCCGCCGTGCGGGCGGCCCCGTTCTCCTACCCTGCCCTGGCTCTGGGTGGCCTCTGCCCTCGCGGTGGGGAGCACGCCCCTCAGGACACGGGCCCTCTCCCGGGGGGCGACCCCGGAGGTTGGGCGGACAGGACCGTCGACGGGTCTCTACCGGGTGGGCGCCCCAAATACTGCCGTGTCCCCATCGGTGAGACGGCGTGTCCCCATCACAGCGGGGCAGGCCGAGGGCTCCAACAGCGGTGAAGGCAGAGCCCCTGACAGGCACCGACTGGCAGCATTTGCCCCGTGCCCTGCCTGGCTGGCTCTTTCCTGCCCCGGCCTTCCGGTGGGCTGGGATGTGTGTGAGGAGTCTGGGGTTCAGCGAGTGCTGGCCAGGATCTCACGCCAGCCTAGGCTCTGGCCGGCCTGGACACCCGCTCCCACCCCGGGCAGCCTGAGACCTCTGGCCTCCGGCAGGCGGGAGCTCAGGCTCGGGGCCAGAGCGCAGCTGGCCCTGGGGCTGGGATGAGGCTGCTTAGGTTTTCTCGGTTCTGCTGCTGCAAAGGCAGGTGCGGTTCTGGCTGCCCGACTTCCTGTTCTAGGCCGGCGCCGGCAGAAAGAAGGGGGCTGGGCAGAGGCCGGGAAGGGCATCTCAGCCTGCTGGGGTGTCCCCTGGGGCTGGCGGCAGCCTGGGTGCAGGGGGAGGAGCCAGGGCCTGTGCTGAGCTCTGGGGGCCCCAGTGCTGGGTGGGAGAGGCCGGCTCACCCCCCTTTCACAGGTGAGAACACTGACGCCCACGGAGGGCTGTGTTCGCCCCAGTAACGTGCTGGTCCCCGGAGGGGCCGGGAACCCTTCCTGATGTGCTGACCGCGCAGCTGGGCTCCAGGGCCTGCCATCGGCCCCGGGGGCAAGGGAAAGAAACCCACCGCTGCTTGGGGGAGGGCTGACCCTCGACCCCCACAGGCCCACCGGGGTGCTGGTGGCCTGGGGAGTCCTCCACCCATTCCTGCTGCTCGTAGCCCAGGCTCTGCCCTGCGGTCACAGGGCTGCTGTGGGGGTCAGGCACAGCGCGCATCAGGACGCCCCATTACTGTCGACCACCCAGCCCCTCCCAGTGGCCCCCCCTCAAGGGCATGGGCAACTTAGGGCTTCCCGAAGCCCAGCGGGGATCCGGCCCCCTCTGAGACGGCGTCGGGGGCTGAGGAGAGGGCTGGCCCTTCCAGCTGGGGACAGCCCGAAATGACGCAAGGCTCCAGCTGTGGCTGGGGGCGCCCCTGGTCACGGACACGGTGCTGGATGCCTGTACACTGCGGCCCCCCGGGAGCTAAGCCACGGACCGAGGGGAGCACAAGGAAGCCCCGCGGGGGGCCGAGGAGTAACCGCCCCTTCCGCCCGCAGGTCCAGCTGGGAGCTCCCGGACCTCCAGGAGGGCAAGATCGAGGCCATCAGCGACTCGGACGGGGTGAACTACCCCTGGTACGGCAACACCACCGAGACGTGCACCATCGTGGGGCCCACCAGGAGGGACTCCAGGTTCGTCATCAGCATGAACGACAACTTCTACCCCAGCGTCACGTGGGCCGTGCCCGTGAGCGAGAGCAACGTGGCCAAGCTGACCAACATCTACCGGGACCAGAGCTTCACCACGTGGCTGGTGGCCACCAACACCTCGACCAACGACATGATCATCCTGCAGACGCTGCACTGGCGCATGCAGCTCAGCATCGAGGTCAACCCCAGCCGGCCCCTGGGCCAGCGCGCCCGGCTGCGGGAGCCCATCGCCCAGGACCAGCCCAAGATCCTGAGCAAGAACGAGCCGATCCCGGCCAGCGCCCTGGTCAAGCCCAACGCCAACGACGCTCAGGTCCTCATGTGGCGGCCCAAGCACGGGCCGCCGCTGGTGGTGATCCCGCCCAAGCGCCGGTGACGCGCGGGCACCGTGGGGCGGGCTCCAATAATAACGCGCCCCAAGCAACCCGCTCTCGTCATTCAGCAACCCCGCCGCTCCGGCTCTGCCCGGGGCAGCGGGCGGATCTCACTGTGCGAAGCCTCCCCCAGCCCCGCACCTGCCCCCTGGGGCCGGGACAGGCGCCCGCCGTGCCCTCCAGCGCCACCCGTGGTCTCCTCGCGATTCCAGCCACTCTCTTGCAACAGAATCCCCAGACAACTGCTTTTTCAGTTCTTTTTTTTTTTTTTTTCCTTCTTTTAACGCCTCCGTCTGAGGCTCAGGGGCGGGAGGGGAGCTGATTTTGCAGGCGGCCCAGCCGGTGGCGAGGTGGCGAGTTGCGTTGTGCCAGCGTCGCCCGGGGGCAGCTCCCCTCGGCCTCCCTCACGTGGCCTTATGTAGACTTGCTTTGCCAAACTTTTGCCTTAAGCTGAATTTAAAGGGAAAAAAAACAACCCCCCAACCCACTCGAAACAAAGAAAGCAGGATCTCTTTTCTACTGGACTCTTCTGCTAGAGGTGGGGGTGCTGGGACCCGGAACAGAGGCCCAAGTCCCCCCCCCCCAACCCCGGTGTCCTGGCAGGGAACAGGGGCACAGACCTGAAACCAGCTGCTCACGCTTTCATTTCAGCAGAGGTGAAACCACAGCCAGACTCTGCCTGACAGGGCGCCCCCCAGGCCCCACACCTGTGAGGAGGGCTGTGAGCGAGGCTGGCTCTGCTGGGGACTCTCCTCTCTCCTCCTGGGCAGCCTTAACTTGCCTCGGGCGGGTCTAGGAGGAGAGGGAAGGTCCTGGGTGACAGGTCGAGTGCAGGGAGCTTTTGCCATCTCAGTCCTCAGCACCCCCTGGCCAAGGGTCGAGTCTGCCGGCACCATCTCTAAGCTTGCAGCTTTCCCTTTTGCACCCACACTGGTCCCAAGCGCCTGGAGGGCGGGCCACCTTGACCCAGTTTTGGTTCAAAGGTAAGAAGGGCCTGTGCTGCTCTCCCCATGCCCCGAGGGAGGGCAGGAGGCGCCGGGGTGGGGGCGCTGTGGAGAGCACCCCGGCTAGGCATTCCTGGATCTGGAAAGGCTGGGGGGCAGTGGGCAGCCCCCCTTGGCCTCCCCATGCTGCTTATCCTCAGAAGTAAACCAGGCCGGGGCTGGGGGCTGAAGGGGAACCGTGGTGAGAGGCATCGGAGCCACCGGGGGTGGTCCGGGGCCGGCGCCCTCGGACTTGGGCCTGGTCGAGGCGGAGCTTTCTCAGCCACGTCTGCCTTGAAGCTGCTCCGGGGAGCTCAGGGGAAACCCCTGCTCAAGCCACCTTCCTCTGAGCTTGCCGAGCCCACAGCCACATCACTGGGCCCACAGACTAAGAATAACCAAGCACAGAAAACTGTCGGATAAGAAAAATAATCCATTTTGCTGCAGTTGAGCCACTTACTGTACAGGGGTCCTAGCCACAGCCGGAGGCGGGGCCCTGCCTTGCTCTGCTCCTTCATCCACGCGATGTCTATCAAGGGGTGCTTCACGTCCTGTCCATCTCCCGAACCCCGCTCCTGCCGCGCGTGCATGCGTCCGCCCTGGAACCAACAGGGCCGGGAGCAGCCCCTGGTGCTGGGGGAACCCCCTGCCAGGCTCAGGACCTGCGCCCCGGATGCTGCGCTCCCCTTTGTGTGTGCCTGGAGGCCGCCACCCAGAGAGGCCAGGAGGGGCTGGGGAGGGCCCTGCTGTTTACAGGACCCCGCTTCCTAGCAGAGCGAAAGAGGAGGCGCTCTTCTCTGCACTCAGGTCTTTACTGCACTAAATGGGGGAACGGGCCCTGGGTGGGGGTCGGGAGCGGGCACGGAGGATGGTCCTGGGCTGCTTTGGGGCCAAGAGCCCCCGACCCTGGTGTCCAGAGGATGAGCACCTTCCAGGCAGGGGCCCGGCACTGTGCCCCTGGAGGGGAGCCCCAGCCTGCTGCATGCCCCATCCCCGCCAGCTCCCTGAGCCCCCTCCCGCCTTCCCGAAGACCCTGGAGAGGCTGCGGTGCGGCCAGGGCTGCTCGGCTTAGCTTGGGCCTGGTCCCTTGACCCCGCCCTCGAGTCAGGTGCCCAGACCTGGCGGCCCCCGTCCCTCGGTGTCCCATCCTGCGTGGGCACGGCTCCAGCAATAAGCGCCGCCCGTGGTCGTGGAGAGTACTGTGAAAACCAGCCAATGCACTTACAGGAGGCACAAGACTCTTGATGAAATGTAAAATGTTTTTTTTAAAACATCACCACAAATATTCACAAATAAAGTATAATTTTAAAGTAGGCCTGGCCAGGCTCTGGGTGTGTGCGAAGTGGTGGTTCACCGGGCTGCGTCCTGGCCATGGGGGGACACACTTGGGGGGGGGGGGCCAGGGTGGGGGTTCTGCGCCAGGCCTTGCCCGGCCTGTGTGGCAGCGGCCCTGGGACTTGGGGTGGCCCGGCTCTTTCAGAAGCCTGTGGGGCTGGGGGCCCTGCGTTTAGAGGGGCCTCCTCCACGACCGGAGCGCCCTCTTCACCGGGTCCCGCCAGGGCATCCTCTAGGCCGTGGCCCCGGGGCCCACCCGACCATGTGACCATGTGGGGTCAGTGTGGAGGGGGCGCCTTCAGGGCGGGCGGGGCCGGGAGACCCCGAGGCAGAGCGCACACTCGAGCGGTCGGTGTGGGCTTGAGCCCCTCGGTCCCCCTCACTTAGATGGACAGTGGGGATCCCGAGAGGCCGCCGCCTCGCCCACATGGTGGGAGCGCATGCCTCTGCGTGGTTTCTGGGTGACCACTCAGGCGTCCTCGCCACCGGGACCCCCTTTCACGGATGAGGAAACGGAGGGGCTGCGGGGGTTGGAAGCCACCCCAGCCCTGGCTCTGGAGGCGGGCACGCCCAGCCCCCACGCCCCAGGCCGGCTCCGGCTCCCGGCTCCGGCAGGAAACGCCTTCCGCGCAGGAAGTGTGTGCAGGCAGCCCCTTGGGGGACGCGGGGGCGGCCTCCGGGCCTGTGCAGGACGAGGGGCCCTTCACTCTGGCCCCTGGGGGTTGGGGTTTCCACGTTGCAGCAACCCAACAGCTTCTGCATCCTGAATCCCGGGTGCAGCCCCAAGGCAGGAAATTGCATAACAGGTGCCCGGGCTCCGTCTGCCCGGGGCTGCTGGGGGTGCAAGTGCCCCGCGTGGCTTGGCTTTCAGCCTCGGTGTAGCCCGTGAAGGGCGGTGTGTGGTGTCTCTGTAGGGGGTGCGCGGTGCATATAGGTGTGGGGTGCGTGCGTGTGTACAGAACTGGGGTGCAGGTGACGCCAACGTCACCTCAGCAGGTGAAAGCTGAGCCAGGTCACCCTGGCACCCGGCTCCTCCCTCTGCCTGCGGCGGGCAGGGGGCCGGCGGCCCTGTTGGGTCGGGGAAGGTGCAGGGAAGTGGTTAGGAGTCAAGTGGCTTCCAAGTGGCATTCAGTCACCATGGAAGCCCTCCAGCCTCCCGGGCTGATAGCCGGTTAAATTTAGAAGCCCAGACGGATGAGACACAGACACCAGACCCCGCCGGCTGTCGCAGGTCCCTCCCAGGGGCCGCGGGGCCGCCCCGCTGTCCGAGATGCCCGGGAGAAGTGCCGGCGCCTTTGTGCTCATCTAGGCCTGGGGGCCGGCCTCTGCGCTGGACGCAGACTGGCTGGAGCCTGGGCCCCTCGGCCTCAGAGGGAGCCCCGCCCGGCCGGAGGAGGCGCTGCGGGGACCGCAGAGGGCGATGGCTGGGGTGCCCGCAGGCCCAGAGCCGGCGCGGTCACGGCTCCTTCACCATCTCCTGCCATGGTCTGTCCCGCCTGCTGGCCCCACAGAGACCTTCCCGCCCGGCTGGAGCTGGGCTGGGCAGTTTGGGGGACACACACGTTCAGACCCCCCCGCACCGGAGCACATGCCCTGCCCTGCTTCCTCACAGTGTGGAGGCCTGAGCTCCGCCCCGTCTTCCGCTTCCTCTTCCAGATGAGGAAACTGAGCCCCAGAAAGAGCCGGGACAGGCGAAGCGTCTCGGGCTGAGCCGTGCAGGGCTGGGCCGGTACCAGGCAGCCTCCCCGCGACCCGGCGGTGCCAATGCTGTTCCCAGGCCCCCTCCGCCTGCCACACCCGATCCTACCAGGGGGCCGGGGCGGCCCTTAGCGGCCGCAGCGCGGGAGGCCCCGGGCAAGCGCGGGGCACAGTCCGCTGGCGCCGGCCGCAGATTATTAAGTCAAGAACACACATCCGAGCAGACGAGCTCGCCTGTGCCCGGGGCCAGGGAGGCGAAGCCACGGGACAGACGCGGGGTCTAGCCAGAGTCAGCCCAGCCCCCGGCAGGGCCCTCCCGTGCTCCCTGCAGACGCGCGGAGACTGTGGGCTCTCCACGCCCGAGCGCAGCTCTGGTGGGGGCTGGGCCCTGGGTCCTCCTCACTTTTTGCTCAGACAGATGGAGGAGGCGGCCGGGCATCCGCAGCCGCCGGGGCACGTTCCTGTCTATTCCTGGCGGCCCTGGCCTGGCTGAGTGAGGTCGGCCGGGGCCCCACCCCATGTCCTCGCGGTGCCAAGCCTGCAGCCCAGGCGCACCCCACCCCCGGGCCCAGTGGGTGCGGCGATGGCCGCAGGTCGGCTTGCAGGGAGTGGGACCCCTCGGCCTCTCTCTTCCAAGAGGCAGAAGTCGTGCCCCAGGCGGACGTCAGGGCCAACTTCCCCTCATGCACACGAGTGCCGGGCAGCCAGGCAGACTGCACCCCACGTTTCTCAGCCTTGCCCGCCCACAGGGGTACCCCACCACTCCCTCCTCCCACGCGCACGGGCTGCGGTGCCCAGTAGGGTCTCTGCCGCCACGGCCTCGGTCAATCCTGGTGTTTTCATCATCTCCAAAAGAAACCCTGTTCCACTTAGCCGTCCCCCGCACTCCGCGCCCCAGCCCTGAGGACCAGCGGCTGCTGTCTTGGGCGGCCCCGCTCTGGACCAGGAGACGGTCAGGGTTCACTTCCTCCTGACAAGTGTGCCTGTGCCCAGGCTCTCTGCTCTGTGTGTGTGTGTGTGTGTGTGTGTGTGTGTAGGGGCGGCAGTTCT